ACTGGCTCAATATCACTTGTTGCAAAGAATTTCCTACACATCCCATTCTTTCAATGACCTTATTTTAGGTATTACGAGAAGCAGAGGCGCAAGGACTGAATAATGTCACGTGGATTTTTAGCGATGCTATTGGTCCAACGATAGCCAACTATAACATCAGCAAAGAGCAGTTACACGGCGCTTTTGGCATTGATTTTGTTTCCGAAGTAATTCCGAAGATTGAGGAGCATCTTTTGAACGTGACTGTTGAAAATTCGTGAGTAATCCATGGTTATTGAAACTCTTCGAAAAGAAGCTTAACTGTTCTACAAAAAATGTAGTTGGTAAAAGACAATGCAGAATGAACGAGAAGTTTGATCGTAATTTCCTAAAAACTTCAGTACGATGGAGTCGACTTATCAATGTGGTAAACAGCATCTTAGCCATAGAAAACGGACTTGATAATCTATTGAAATGCAATGGCAAACTACCAGGAGGACAGTGCCCCAACACAAGTTTTCCATTAAATGCTGAGGATGTGTACACATATATACAAATGTTTCATTTAAAGGTGCTTTAGGTAAGCAAGTGTCTTTTGATGAACATGGGGACTTGGAGACGAAAAACTATACTTTTCGTAATTTGCAATGGAATCGCCTTAATGACACCATAGAGTCTCGAACAGTTGCAGAATGGTCATCCCTTCAGCCAGATAGTCCTAAATTCATTCATGGCAAAAACGATCTTGGTCTTACATGGAACAAAGGTAAAGTCCCTTATGCAACCTGCAGTATTCCATGTAAACCTGGAGAAAAACAGGTGGGTGAAAGTGATTGTTGCTGGGCATGTTATCCTTGTCCTAAAGGTGAGGTAAGCAACGTTACAGGAGTAAACACATGTCATAAATGTCCATGGGGATGGTATGCTAACAAGGCTAAAACACAATGTCTCAAGACTGAAGTGGACTATATTGACTCTGGTGATGCATTTGCAATTGTTACTATATGCATAGCATCTATTGCTATTGTTGCCATTTTAATGGTTGTGGCAAAGTTTTATTTCGTCAGAGACACTCCGTTGATTCAAGACTCAAATCCACTCCTCTTAGGTTGTTTGATAACTGCGGTAATCCTGGCTTTCATGTATTCTTTGTTTCAAGTTACATTGTATCGTACAGACGCATCATGTCGATTCTTGAGTGCAATGCTTTTGGTGACACAGCTGCTAGCAGCAAGCACATTATTGGCTAAAACCAAGACATGTGACCAGCATCTCAGGAAGCTAGCTTCACATTATTTTGAGCCAGCCGCCCAGTTCTGCTCTATAATATTTGTCGCAGCTGTGATGCTGTTTGAGCTTTTTATCATTGGAATTTGGTTCATAACGGATTCACCAGTGTTTGAATTAACAGTAAGTTCGATTGAGCTACACATCCGAGAATGCAGTTCGACCTGGGCAGCGGCAAGATTTATTGCCACTGGCTTCCCACTACTCATACTATTTCTTGCAACAGTTTTCTCGTTTAAAGAACGCGATGATCGTAAAATCACAGCGAAGCAAAGTATATAAGTTTTGTACAATTTCTCTGTGCATACTGCTCATTGCATTCTTTCCTACACATCGTTTCGCCCAAGGCCTTACACAGAGTATTGTCATAACCACTTCTCTTGTGGGCGGATTAGCGGTTAGCGTCTGCATAATCTACCGAAGGTGTACATTTTGCTTGTAAAACCTCACCGTAACGTACCTGAGGAAGAACAGGAACGCACTCGTAGTCATAATACCACAAGTTCGGCACACACAGCAAACGGAAGTCAACATCGCTCTGTTTTCTCAGAGGGTGACGACAAGTTTCAACCGACCAATGACAATGAAAAGCGTGTTGTGAAAGACATTACCCTTTCGTAATGCGGTCAACATCATTTCTGATAATGCCTTGTTTTAGAAACATTTTCTTAGAAAGTTAATTTCGTGTAGTGAAAGTCATTTAAACGTCAAAATGTAGAGTTTACTTGTAATTGATGATCAATAAAAGTTAAGAAACAATTGTTAATTTTGAAAATATTGCTGAGTTTCTAAACGACTATTTGAATATCGATTTCAATATTCAAATTGTCACCAATATTCAACTTAACATCAAATAGCTGATTTTCTATATTAACATTTCGAGTGAAATTGCTACGTTGGTTATCTACTCATAAATTAGGGTTACGTTTGGTTACAGAAAGATCTTAGTTACTTTTGTAAAACCTTCAATATCGCAAAAGATCCCCCAGTGAACCCTCTCCACCCAAACTCACATTTTCCGTCAGGGTATGATGCAATGCAACATAAATGCATTATAATCAGCCACTTACTCCAATACCGACACAATTTGCTTTTTTCTCTCAGGAACAAAGGGTACTTTTTCTTTTGCCTATGTAGTCGTCTGTTCTCCTCTCTAAAGAATATATAAACCATTTTGTACATTTTATGGGAGAAATCATTTAAAATTCCAAATATTATAAGGTTAACGTTCAACTTTAGGAACAAATTGTCATTAATGCAGTTGGAAAGATAAGCATTAGGGCGAAGTTGAATAAAGACGTTATTCCACGGACCTAGTTTTACGTGAGTGGAGCATTATCCTCTTCTCTCGCGCAGATTTGTAAATAGCTGAAGGCACGTGACGATGTCTATAGTACAAAGCCATGTTAGTCACCAGGTTTCCAAACAATGTCAAATCAAAATGTGGAAAACGAAAATATCTGAGTTACAGTATGCATCTCATGCATTCTTCACCTTAATATTCTTAGAACTTGAGGATGAAACTTGTAACGTTCTTTGAGTTTCTTGTTGTAAGTGAGTGATGCTTTTTCTCTCGGAGCAAGCTAGAACAAACACAACATTACAAACATATAAATTCTCCTTCGCATGCAAAAAAGAATTAATCAACACTGGATGAAAGTTACAAACGATAATATTGATGTACAATAATGAAAACGAAATAGTTAGTTAAAAGAAGCAGCAAACATATGTATGTTAACAATTTGCTGCAATTTCAACAAATGGGGCAAAAATATAAACAAAGCAATGAAATTACCGGTCCAAGTTTGGCTGACGCATCTGCTTTCCAAATTCTGAAAACGCAATTAGATTAAATTAAAGTCCTGAACATTAGTTACATGAAGACGGCTAGACGTCATAAGATGAATGATTTACAATATTTATGAAAGTAAAAACCAAGCTTGTGTCCTCCACCATCATCAATCCTCAAACAATAATTTTCAACTTGACAATAGATCATTTCCATTGAAAGGATGTAAGGGTTCTGACTGAATTATGTCTTACTGTGTGTTGATTAGTCGTTTTTTGTCTTTTCAATTATACTGGAAATGAAACCTACAGGAAAATTGATAACACGATGGTACTACCTCATGTTAGTGTTACATATTAAATTCTCTTAAGTCGTCGTGTATTGTTAAACTTACTCTGACAAACAGTAACATAATTTTAGCGGTAAGTGCAAGTTTGCCAAATATTTTATGTTTTACTTAGTTGAATAAAATTTCTTTGTTGGCGAAGAAAGATAAACTTGATGAGGCACTTTTCTCTGCTGCTGCTCCTTACCTACCTTTGAAGAAACACTTTACCTCAAAAAAGGGCACTTTTTTGAATGACGTTTTAGGGCCTTGGATCCCCTTGGACCCTCCGGTTTTAACATCCCTGGAAAGAAACGAAAAAATTGCGTTGTGTGAGATTATTCAACTTTTCATGGAGATTTTTCTGTGGAGATTATTATTTTCATGGCAAGGTTTAATGAAAGCGTGTTGTTTGTGCAAGTAAGACATTTAGGAGCAGACATTGAAATATTTTTGTTTCTTCAGTTTTTCATGTTTTCAAAGGAGTAAGGAAAACGGA